TGTGTGCCTAGCTGACTGTCTCTGCTTCTCCAGGTCAGCCACCTTGGCCTCAAGGGAGCACACACGTTCCCTAAGAACCAGGAGCTCCTTGCACCGAGGACACACCCAAGACTTCTGCCCAGTGGGCAGATAGTCATACATGTGACACTCTGTGCAAAACACTGGATAGCCCCCAACCCCCTGCTGGCATTCTGGCTTCATAATTCTTTTAAGATAAATAAATATAATCCCCCTTTTAAACCCTTGGTATTTATGTGGTTTTTGTTATCGAAGTCAAATTATTTTACGGGAAAGACAAAGAGCCTAGGGCCTTGTCTTTCTGGCTCTTTTTGGGCTTCTTACAGAGCCCCTAGGCTAAGAGCCCTTTAGCTCGCCCTTCGGCTCAGTGTTTCCTTAAATAGAGGCCTCCCCCAGCAGAGGTCAGGCAGCAGCTATTCAAATTCAAATTCACCCAGGCACTCAATCACAGGCAAAACAATGCCCCTTCCACTTCCTCTCAATTACAGGCAATCCCAGTCAAACAATGCCCGTTCCTCTCCCACACTCAATCAGCCAGGACTCTGCAAGAACTCTAAGTGCTTCCACACACTGCTAAACACAGTTTTCCCACACAATATCCTCAGCTGAATCCTCTCAGCTGAAAGCAAGTAAAAGAAACCCACTCACCTCTCTCACAGCTCTCTCTCCTGCTCAGAGCTCAGCTGGTCATAGCCAGTGTTCCCTCTAAGCTGAGTTAGTATGAGCTAGCTCACGATTTTTTAGCCTCCAGCTCACACATTTTTGTCTTAGCTCAGGAAGGACGGCTCCAGAGCAAACTAATTTATGCAGTAGCCAAATCACTCGCTCACAACTTTCATGCCAGTCGCTCACAAAGCAGAATGTTTGCTCACAAGACCCCATAGCATAGAGGGAGCCATTGGCCATAGCAGAAAACATTTAGTTAGCAAATACAAACATTCATGTCATTACTTCCAGTTTGCAGCAGCAGCTTCATTGATGTATTCAATGAACACCAGGATCACTGTAACAGAAAAGACAACAGTAGTTTTCAAATCATTAAAGGATACTGAGCATAGTGCTGCATACAGTACATGAAACCATAATCAAGCCATCTGTACTAATATTTTTGGTGCTGGGGGGGGCAACAGTGGGAGGGCTTCTAGTGTCCTGGCCCCACTGCTGGACCTCCTGATGGCACCAGGTATTTTTTGGCCACTGTGTGACAGAGTGTTGGACTAGATGGGCCATTGGCCTGATCCAACCTTCTCTTATGTTCTTAACATATTATCTGGAGGACCGATAGCCGCAGGGTAAAGTACATGCTTTATGCTGCCTTTCCCCCATAACATGGCATTCAGAGTGGGTTATAAAACCAACAACTAGATGGATCATAATGGGCTCAAGTATTGTCTGCTGTGGCCCCCCCTTAGTGGACCTTACAAGGTGAGGAAGGCTCCCACACTTCCATTGTCTCGTTGATCAGGAAGGCATTTTCATAAAGGGAACGTAAATCTAGTGCGATGGAAGATTTCTACATGTGCAGCAGTGCTAAAAAAATCCCTCCCTTGCTGTCCACTTGCACCAAATTTAATGAAATCATGCAAACTAGCAGCTGAACATTCCATTGCTCCATACACACAATGCTGTCTCATTAAAAATTATATTAAAGTGGCCCTGACCTGGATAGCCTAGGCAAGCCCGATCTTGTCAGTTCTCGGAAACCAAGCAGGGCTGACCCTGGCAAGTACAGGGAAGGGAGACCTACAAGGAATACTAAGCCTGGGATGCAGAGGCAGGCAATAAGCCACCTCTCTGAATTGTCCAAGTCCCACTGGGGTCACCAGAGGTCATCCATGACTTCCAGGCACACGTGCACGCACACACACACACACACAAAATTCTCACAAAAATTATATTAAAGTATAACATGTTGCTGCAGCTATTGTGCTAATGTTTGTATATAGGCAGCTACTGTTCTTACCTTGTAACCCAGAGAATTGAGCTAGTCTAAGGTATAAGAGTTACTTTTAAAAAAGAGTTCTTATCTATATTTTCTCATATTTTCAGTATTAATCCCATCTTTTCTCAGTTTCCATGCTCAGCTAATATTTGCAGTCTTTTTTTTTTAGGAAAAAATGTGACCCTTCGAAGAGGAGTGTTATTTGAGCAGAATTGGAACCAGGAAATTTGGTTCCAATTCTGCTCATATAGATATGTCAGCCAGAGTAACATGCTGAACACCAGCTGAATGTCATCCTGTTCATGTAGTTCACATAAGAACATTAAAGAACCCAATGTTG